GATGGAGTCTTGCATTGGGCTCTGTGCTAAGTGTGGAGCCTGCTTGAGATTCTCTCTCTCCCTCGCTCTCCTTATCTCTCTCTCCCTTTCTCCTTCTGCCCCTCTCCAGCTCGTGCTCTCTCTCTCACTCTAAAATTAAAAAAAAAGAGGGTAGAAGGCAATACTTGAAGAATCATGGTTGAGAATGTCATACAGGTGATGAAAAACAGCGCGTTAGCCAACTGTATATAGTGGTTACACTGGTTGTTTGCTTCATACTAATAGTTTTATTTATTAAAATGTTTGAGATAATTAGAGCTTCACATGCAGTTGTAAGAAATAATACAGAGGAATCCAGCATAACTTTGAATCCACTTTCCTCCAAGGAGATAACTTGCAAACTATATATGGTACAATATTCCAATCAGGATACTAGCATGGATACAGTCAAGATACACAAAGACAATGTTACCATCACCACAAGGATACCTGCTGTTGCTATTTTATAACCACACCCACCTCCTTAAGCCCTGGCAACCACGAATCTATTCTCCATTTCAATCACTTTATCATTTCAAGAATGGTCCATAAATGAGATCCTAGAGTATGCAACCTTTTGGGATTGGCTTTTTTCACCCAGCATAGTTCTCTGGCTATTCATCCAGGTTGTTGCATTGCTTTTTATTGATGAATGCCATTCCATGGTGTGGATGTCCGGTATCTTGTTTTACCATTCACCCATAAAAGAACATCAGGGTTGTTTCCAGTTTAGGGCTATTACAAAGAAATTGCTATAAATATTTGTGTACAGGTTTTTATGTGAATGTAAGTCTTCAGTCTCTACAATAGATGTCCAGGAGTGCAATTGCTGGGGCTCATAATTCGTTTTCCTTTAAGAAAATAACAAACTGTTCTCCACTGGTATTATGAGTGGTCCAATTTCTCTGCATCCTTACCAGCATTTGGTGTTGTCACTACTGTTTCATTTTAGCTATTAAGTGTATAGAGACATCTGATTGTAGATTTAATGTGCATTTCCCTAATGGCTAATGATGGTGACCATCTCATGTGTATTTCCTGTCTGTACATCCTCTTTGGTAAAATGCTCATATCTTTGGTCATTTTCTAATTGGATTGTGTGTGGGGTTTTTTGTTATTGTTGTTTTGAATGTTCTTTTTATGAAAAAATATTTTGTCTGACATTATGGTTTGCAAGTAAATTCCCCCAGTCTCTATCTTTTCATCTAGAATCTATCATCAAGGAAGTTTCTATTTTTGATGAAGTCCTTTTTATCAACTTTTTTGATAAAATTGGAGTCCAAGAATTTTTCCTTCTTCTAGTTCCCAAGGAATTTCTCTTTTTTTTTTTTTTTTTTTTTTGTAAATGGGTTATAGTTTTACATTTTACATTTAAAGGCAAGGTCCAGGGGCGCCTGGGTGGCTCAGTCGGTTAAGCGTCCGACTTCGGCTCAGGTCATGATCTCGCGGTCCATGATTTTGAGCCCCGCGTCGGGCTCTGTGCTGACAGCTCAGAGCCTGGAGCCTGCTTCGGATTCTGTGTCTCCCTCTCTCTCTGACCCTCCCCTGTTCATGCTCTGTCTCTGTCTCAAAAATAAAAACATTAAAAAAAATTTTTTTTAAATAAAAAATAAAATAAAAATAAAGGCAAGGTCCATTTTTAGTTAATGTTGTATAAGGTGTAAAAATCAGATCAAGTTTCTTTTGTGTATGTGTGTGCCTATGGATGTCCTAATGCTCCAGCATCATTTGTTGCAAAGGTTCTCTTGCCTCCATCAAATTAATTTTTGCACTTTTGTAAAAAAAAAAAAAAATTCAGTTGGACATGTTTACATAGGTATTTTCTGTGTTTATATTCTGATTAATCTCTATGTGTATCCCTTTACCAATACCAATCTTGATTACTGTGGCTGAATGTAGTAGGCTGAATGGTGGCTCCCAAAAAGACATGATCACATCCTAACCCCCAGAACCCACGAATATCCCCTTATACAGCAAAAGGGTAATATTACATTATATGACAAAAGAGGTCATTAAGTTAAGGATCTTGACAGGAAGTTTCCAGTGAAACATCTGGGCCTGAAGATTTCTTTCGGGGGAGATTTTTAATTACAAATGCATAGGGTTAACAACGCTGGGGCTATTCAAATGATCTATTTTATATTAGGTAAGTTGGGGTAGTTTGTGTTTTTCAAGGAATTGGTCTATTTCATCTCAGCTGTCAGATTTATGTGTATAGAGCAGTTGATAGTATTCCCTTCTTACCCTTTTGATGCCTGCAGGGTCTGTAATGATATCCCATTTCATTCCTCACGTGGACCATTTGTCTTTTTTCTCCTTTGTCAGTCTTTGTAGAGGTTTGTCAATTTTATTGATCTTTTCAAAGAATCGTCTCTTTTTTTAATTGACTTCCTCTATTATTTTTGCTTCCAATTTCAATGATTTCTGCTCTAACCTCTATTCCTTCCTCTTTCCTGTATGCTGTGGATCTATTTTGCTCTTCTTTTCCTAGGTCTTGAGGTGAAAGGTTAGGTGATTATCTGAGAATTTTCCTCTTTTCTAACCAATGCATAACTATAAATTTTCCCTCCACTCTGCCTTAGCTGTGTCCTACAAATTGTAACATGCTATTAAAATTTGTATTTTAGTTTTCATTCAGCTCATTTTTATTGTTGTTAAAATAATGTATTTTTATTGTTCTTCAGTTAATTTTTTTTTTAATTTCCCTTGAGACTTCCTCTTTAATACATGGGCTATATATACATATGTTGTCTAGTCTCCATTTGCTAGAGACATACCTGTTCTCTTTTTGCTACAGATTTCTAGTTTGAGTCTATTGTGATTGCAGAACACACTCTGTATGATTTCTATTCTTTTATTTTTTAAAAATGTTTGTTTACTTTTTTATAATTTTGTTTTTATTATTACATTTCTTTATTTTTGAGAGGCAGAGAGAGACAGAGCATGAGTGGGGGAGGGGAAGAGAGAGAGGGAGACACAGAATCTGAAGCAGGCTCCAGGCTCTAAGCCATCAGCCCAGAGCCCGATGCGGGGCTCAAACCCACGAACTGTGAGATCATGACCTGAGCCGAAGTTGGCTCCTTAACCACCTCAGCCACCCAGGCGCCCTGATTTCTATTCTTTTAAATTTATTGAGGTTTGTTTTCGGGCCCAGGATATGATCTACCTAGGTATATTTTGTGGGCACTTGAAAAGAAAGTTTATTGTGCTTTGTTGGGTGGAATTCTATAAATGTTGATTGGATCCTGTGGTTGATGCTGTTGTTGAAGTTCCTCGACAACGTTGCTGATTTTCTGTCCACTTGCTCTATCAATTTTGAGAGGGTGTTGAAGTTTCCAGCTGTAGTTGTGGAACTGTTTATTTTTCCTTTCAGTTCACATTCTGAAGCTCTGTTGTTTGGGTCATATACATTTAGGATTACTATGTCTTCTTGATGGATTGACCCTTTTATTATTAAATCAAGTCCTTCTCTGTGTCTGGAAATTTTCTTTGTTCTGAGTCTTCTTTTTCTGATCTATAGCTCTGCAGCTTTCTTGTGGTTGTCTGCATGATACTTTTTTTTTTTCTATCCTTTTACTCTGTCTACATTAAAAAAAAATTTTTTTTAATGTTTATTTATTTTTTAGAGAGAGACAGAGCGTGAGTGGGGAAGGAGCAGAGACAGAAGGAGATACAGATTCTGAAGCAGGCTCCAGGCTCTGAGCTGTCAGCACAGAGCCTGTTGCAGGGCTCGAACTCATGAACCATGAGATCATGACCTGAGCTGAAGTCGGACGCTTACCGACCGAGCCACCCAGGAACCCAACATTGTTATATTTAAAGGGAGTTTCTTGTAAATGACATATGCTTGGGCTGTTTTTAACCCACTCTGCCAATCCGTGTCTTTTAATTGGTGTATTTAGACCATTTATATTTTATAATTATTGGTATGTTGGGGCTTAAGTCTGCTATTTCATTTTTGGTGCTTAGCTGTTTCCTTTTTCCCACTATTCTATGGGGTTACTTGAGTAGTTTTTAGAATTCCATTTTGATTTATCTGTAGTGTTTTAAGTGTGTTTCTTTGTATGGCTTTTTAGTGTCTGCTCTGTGTGTGTTTGTGTGTGTGTATATGTATATACATACACAAGAATGTGTGTGCATATATATGTACATATGCAAGTATGTATATACATAAATATAAATAAATTATATATGTAGTCTTATCATAGTTGACCAATGTCATCATTTTACCAGTTCAAGAAAAGTGTGGAAAGTTTGCCTATATCCCTTTACCCTGTTGCATATATTTATGTTAGGTATTTCTTCCTTATACATTAAGATACACATCAGACAGTGTTATGATCTTTTTTCAACAACCAAATGTACTTTAGAAAACGCAGTATGAGAAGGGAAGCCAGTTGTATTTACCCATATTTTTGCTTACCACGTTCTTTTTTTCTGATGTTCCAAGATTTCTTTTATTGTTTCCTTTTTCCTTGGAGAATCTCATTTAGTCATTTTCTTAAGGTAATTTTCCACCAACAGATTGCCTCTGTGTTCCTTCACCTGGGAATGCTTTGATTTCTCCTTCACTCATGAGGAATATTTCCCCTGGGTATAGGATTCTGGATTAACAATTCTTTCAGCACGTGAAAAATGTTGTGCCATTTCCCTCTGGCCTCTTTGGTTTCTGATGAGACATTTGCTGTCATTCAAATTGTTTCCCCCTATAGTTAAGGTGCTTCTCCCTGCTTTCAATACTTCTTTAGTTTTCAGAAGCTTGACTATAATGCAAATGGTGCTGTTTCTCTAGGTTTACTGTGTTTGGAGTAGACTCAGTTTTTTGAATCTGTAGGTTTATGGATTTTGCCATATTGCAGGAGTTTTCAGCCATTATTTCCTTGGGTACTTTTTCAGCCCGGTCTTCTACCTGTCTTTTGAGTCTCCAATAACATGAATGTTGGAACTTCGTGAAGACCCACAGGTCTCTGAGGCTCTGCTCATTTTTTTTTCCAGCCTATTCTCTCTATTGCTCAGATTGAGTAATTTCTATTGTCCTGTCTCCAAGGTCATGGATTCTCTCCTCTGTCTCCTAGATGCTGCTACTGGGCTCATCCATTGAGTTTTTCATTTTAGTTTTTCACTATATTTTTTTATTTCTCAAAATTTCTAATTGCTTCTTCTTCTATTTCTTTGCTGAGACTTTCTGTTTTTTCACTTGTTTCAAGTGTATTCATAGTTGCTAGTTGAAACATTTTTATGATGAATGCTTCATAATCTCTGCCAGGTAACTCTAACATCTCTGCCATCTCAGTGTTGGCATCTGTTGAGTGTATTTTTTCATTCTATTTGGGCTCTGCCTGGTTCTTGATAGGACAATGATTTTTTAATGGAATCAGGACATTTTAGATAATATGTTATGAGACTCTGGATCTTACTTAAACCCTGTATGGCTTTTTCTGACCCCACTCCAGCCAGGGAAGGGAGTGCTGCCTCATTACTGCCAGGTGGGGGTGAAAGTGCAGGTTTGCACTTGGCCTTCTTGACTTCCAAGCTGAGATGCTCCTCATGACTGCTGGGAGAGAATGGGAGTTCCAGCACCCCCACTGATAACTTCCCTGTTTGGGAAAGAAAAGAGTAATTGAAATCCACTCCTACCCCTCTCTACTCACTGACACTGCCTTAAATTCAAGAATTTGTCATTTCTTGCCCAACTTGGGACAGTTAATTTATAAATGGACCCTTCTGCTTTGATGTCACTTCTCTTTAATTCTTCCTCCACAATGCTTCCAGAGGGATCTTGAAAAAGCATAAATCCAGTTATCACATTCCCCTACTTTTAAAATACTTTCATGGGGTACCTGGGCAGCTCAGGCGGTTAAGTGTCAGACTCTTGATCTCAGCTCAGGTCACGATCTCATGGTTCATGAGTTCAAGCCTCACATCAGGTTCCTTCTGATGGCATGGAGACTGCTTGGGATTCTATCTCTCCTTCTCTCTGTCTCTCTCTCTCTCAAAATAAATAAATAAAAAAAATCCTTTCATGAATCCCTGTACCCTCCAGAATAAAATCCAAAACAAAGAGAAGCCTTCAGGATGTGGTCCCCACCAAATTCTAGCACCATCTCGCTCTACTATAGCCCCCTGCACCCCAGCCACATCAAACTACTTGTCCCTGACAGAACTGAAGGAAAAAGAGGACAAAAGAAAAAATACCACAATCACTTTCTCCTCTTATTTCTTCCCTCAATAATCTCCTGCCATTCCTCCTACTGACTGAACCCAACCGGAAACAATGAGCCACAGAGCAAGAGAGTCTGGGTGAAACCCTCCATGGGGATCAGTACCCAAGCCACAGACCCAGGGAAGGCAGTCAGGTGAAGAATAACTAGCACATTTGACTTCAAGCCAAGGTAAGTCCTAGAGTGGCTATAAACCAAAGATTTTATCTTGCCAAATGCCATTCTCATCCCCTAAGATCCTGAAATTTTCTGACAAGCGTTCATCAGTGTGTGAGTACCAGCATCCCAGACCTCAATTCAAATAATATTAAATGTGTTCTACAAAATTCCATTTTTATTTTATGGTTAGAGCCATGGACAGAGTGCTTTGCTCTCTATGGTTTCAAAATTCTTCATAGTTCAAAAAGGAATTAGATAATTATACCCAGGGTCAGAATCTGGTGAGTGGTATAATACGGATGGTTAAATACATGCCCAACTATTCTCACTGACCAAAACATCTTTTCATCCCACTTACAATAGCCATTTCTTAGGATGTGAAATGTTTTTATGATTTTCAGGCGGAAAAAAGAGTTCTTTTTTAGCAGAATGACTTAAATCTACCCAATGGGTTTTAAACAAATTGATATGTTTGCCATTATGTATAGTTATAAGCTTCATAATTGCTGCTAGAATCTGTAAGCAGAGGAACTTGTACTATATGCTTTGGATACCATTAAGCAAATATAAAAAATAGATTTTAAAAATAACTTTTAATATTTAAAAAGAATATGAAGTATTTACACTCTCAATAAATTCGAAAGCCAGATTTTTAGACCGGATTCACCCAGGTGTGACCTAATAGCCTCCACAGTTGTGTGTCACGTGCTTTTCTCCCTTCCCTCCCCAGGGCCTCTCCAGTGCTGTAGCGTGGGGGTGCCATGAGAAACCACTCCAAGTCCAACCGTGCATAACTCAGAAGTGAACACGGTTGGCGAACTTTTGACTAGGGACATGGGAGCTATGGATAAATGCCCCATTTCACCCCCCAGATTAATGGTTCGTGGAACCAAAGAAATCTTCATCCGCGGCGGTGGCGATGTTTGGGGAACACCTCCCCATATTGGTGCCTCCTGCCTTTTACCCCTCTTCCTTGCTTTTCTTCACATTCTCCAGCCGAATACTGATTTTCAAGTCTTTGTCTCAGGCTCTGCTTTCTGAGGTACCTTAGCCAGGACACCTCAACTTCAACCATGCTTCAGTTTTCTCCTTTCCCACATTAATCTGGCAAGCTTGTGTTCTTTGTTTTAATCAGTCCTGCTCAGAGCTTGTGAAAGGAACACTGACCTTTAACTGTCTCTCGGAGAAAACACAGTGTTCTCGTAGTCACTGATAGAAAGAAGGTTCTGCCCTCATTTTTTATCATCATCTCCCTCTTCTTTTTTCCCCCTTTGATCCAACTTCAGATAGAAAGAATAAGTGAAAGTTAAGTTTAATGAAACAAAATTTTCAAGGCCAGTCTTGTAAAATAAAATAAAAAACACCAAAACAGAGATTTTCAGTATTATAAAATATCCATACAGTTCCTATAAGGTTGATTTAATAAGATCTGATCTATATTTCCCAAATCAAATTTTGGAACCAGAGTCAGATATTTGAATCTAGACTGTGTCCTTGTATCTGCTTAAGAGTTCTACAAGGAACCTATCAGAAGAAAGGTTTTTAAAAATGCAAAACAATTTAAATTCCATCTATTCCACCCCTGGAAAGTGTACTGCTACATTTCTTTGTGGTTAGAATAAATTACCCAAGCAAACCTATGCTCTTGTTACTACTGCTATGTAACAAAATGACCTAATGCTATGTAACAAATGACCTCAGTGGCTTACTGTGGCCATTTTATTTTGCTCTCGATTTTATACGTCAGGAATTGGGGAAGGGTTTAGCTGGGTAGTTCTCGTCTGAAGGTTGCTGTGTGGTTGTAGTCAGATGGTTGTGCCGCTGTCATCCAAGAGCTCAACGGGGCCATGGCTGTCTAAGATGAAGCATTCACAAGGCTAGCAGCAGTTGACATTGTCTGTCAACTGGGAGCTCAGCCAAGACTGTCTACCAGAGCGGCGACATTCAGCCTAGTAGGAGAGGGGAGCTTCTCACCTGATGGCACAGAAAGCATTCTGAGAAAACCAGGCAGAAAGCACTCCAGAAAACCGTTGCCCCGCCTCCAACGTCACACAGCGTTGCTTCTGCTTCGTTTTACTGATTACAAACAGGTCACCAAGACCAGCCCAGATTTTAAAGGAGGAGACAAAGACTCCATTTCTAGTGGGGAAAAATGTCAAACAACTTGAGGGCAAGTTTTTAAACGATGTTAGATGATGTTTACTCGTGGAGTTCTAAGGAAAGAGATTGCATTCATGACCAATCATACAAGGGAAGTTTCAGAGGCCAAGATAGGGTATAGATGAAAGGACTGGTTCATCTCTCTTCTTAATAGACCTCAGAACCTCAAAAGACCTGGGCACTGCATTCCAGGATGCTTCTCCCAACCTTCTCTCCCTCTTACTTCGCTCAGGATTAGACGCATGGCTCTCCCAGCCATTCTGGCTATTTCCTTTCAAATAGGTGTTTCCTCGAATAAAATCCTTACATGTTAATGAGTTGAGTTATGAGTTAATGAGTTGAGTTGAGATGAGTTGAGATGAGATGCGTTCTCTTTTTGAAAAAAGAGAATCTCTTTTTGTATTGCAAACCTACAGACAGAAATCAGAATTCTTAAGAAAGATCAGAAAAGAACAAAGTGAAAGTTGTATTTAAAACCTTCTCATCCTGGGGGGCGCCTGGGTGGCTCAGTAGGTGAAACATCCGATTTCGGCTCGGGTCATGATCTTGCATTTTGTGGGTTCAAGCCCTACAACGGGCTCTCTGCTGTCAGCACGAAGTCCACTTCAGATCCTCTGTCCCCCTCTCTCTCTGCCCCTCCCCTGCTCAAGCACACACTCTTTCTCTCTCTCAAAAATACACATTAAAAAAAAACAAACCTCATTCTGTAGAAAAGCTTTAGCAAAGATTATAAAAGTCAAATACATTAAGTACATATCAACTCTCAATATATAATTCAGCAGGCCTCAACATAATCATAAGTAAATTTTTGTTTTCTCATTCCTAGTTAAAATCTCGTATCGTGGATAAATCAAGACTTATCCCTTTTACATTTAAAGACTTACTGCATCTAAGAGCTGAATTTAGCACTAGTCTGGGTCCTCCAAAAAGCACACACCAAGAGCAGATTAACATGTAAGGATTTTACTTGAGGAAACACCTATTTGAAAGGAAATAGAATGGCTGGGAGAGGCATCTAATCCTGAGTGAAGTAAGAGGGAGAGAAGGTTGGGAGAAGCATCCTGGAATGTTGTGCATCCTAAAGAAGGTTTGGCAAAGCTGGTCAGGGAGTCCTTGAGCCAAAGTCAGCCTATAGAAGAGATGTCTCCCAGGACAACTGCCTTAGTATCCTGCTGCATCCATTCATTGGTGGGGAGCACCCTGTGGGAGGTATGCTGTACCTAAGCACTGTGATAAATTTCAGAGTGCAGCAGCTGGGGTCTTTGGTGAATTTTGTTCCTTGTAAAAAGAGGTCTGCAAAGGCATGTTCTCGTGACTGCCACATTGGCCATCACCTGAATAATGCACACAGCTAGAGCTATTCAAACACCTAGCAAGCAGCAGAAAGGGGCTGTCCATTTGTAAGCACACAAAGCATTTCCCCTGAGGGAAATGTACAAAACTAAGAAAGCATGTGTGCACTGAAATTCCCCATGGTTAATTCCAATACCCATCTCCTCTTTCTCTTTATTGCTCTAAATATTTCCTTTGACCATTCCTTAGGAATCCTTGCTTTTACTTCTGGGTGCTTGGGCTGTCATGCATGAGGGCTTGGGAGACAAGTGGGAGACTGTGCAGCATGCACACTGAAAGAAGTCTCTGGGTTCTCCGTTGCCCTGCAAACTAATATAAATGCTGATGCTAATTAACGCTGCTACTTTCTGCTAGTGCCTGGGAGTGTTTTTCACAGGGCTCTGAGCAGTTGAATATCAACAATTTCTGGACTTACTTTGTGTAACTTAGTTGGAAAATTTCAGGTGCAACAAATCCTAGGGTGATGACCAAGGAAATAAAATAGCAGAATCAAATCCAGGGGATATGAAAGAGAAGTAAATTAGCAGGCCCTGGTGAGGGACTCCGTACAAAGGTGAAAAAAACGTGAAAATGACTCACATTTTTACCTGAAATATTAGAAAATGGTTGTGGACTAAATTGTTGCAGACAGCTCATTTCAAATCTTCATTAAGTACCTATGCATCTCAACCAAATAAAGCACTCTTTGACACCAGTCTCGAAAAAGGTGAGAGAGGAGACTTATTTGTCAGAAGTGGTAGAGAAAAAGGAAAGGATACATGGGCATGAGTCACCTCCCCACCTCCCCAACCTGATTTCCCTCCCCTAGATCGAAAGCAGTTTCAGGAACTGGGTTGTCTGTCTCAAGACAGATATGCCTGGTGAGAGACAGGACGCTAATGGCCCATTTCAGACCATGATTTAGTCATTGTAGACCTCTGTTTTCAGGTGCTGGGCTTGTTCTTAGCTGGGAAGTTGGCTTGGCTACAAAAGAATCCACTTAAGGAGCACGTTGTA